CTCGGCTCGGCTCGGCTCCCCTCCCCTCAGGGCGACGCGGGCCGCCCGCAACAGCCCTTCGTCTATCGGCACTTTCGCCACTCGGCAATGAGCCGTTAAAAAAACTCGTCCCCCGCCTCCGGCCCTCTCCGCCCGCTCTCTGCTTCCCTTCCGGAACGGGACCGCGGCGCGGTGCTGCGGCGGGAGCCTCCGGGGCTGGCGGGGAAGGGCGGCGTTTCGGCCGTGAGGAATCTGCGGCCGCGGAACGGCAGGCGGCTCTACTTGGCGGCGGCGAGGGCAGCGGCCGGGACAAGATGGCGGCGTTGAGCAAGCAGTGAGTGACGGTGGAGCTGGGGCTGCGGGGTCCCGCCGCGCCGCCGGCGGGCTCCTCGGGGCGGAGGGTCCGAGCGGGCCCTGCTCCGCGGGGCAGCGGCTGGGGGGGAACCTTGGGGCCGCCGCTGAGGGCGAGCGCAGGCGAGGCCCTGCCTCGGGCCGGAGCGAGCTCTGACAGAACCCCCGGGCCGGGCCGCAGGAGCGGGGCTCGCTCGTCCCCGCCAGCGCATGTCTACCGCGTAGCCTTGTCGTGTTGGCCTCAACTTAAAACTGTGTTTGTTAAAAAAAAAACAAACCACAACAACAAAACAACAAACAGTGGGAAGGTACCGGCGGCTGCTGCGGTGTTGCCGGGGGATAGTTTTCCCTCTTGGGAAGTAGATTCCCCTCAGGATTCCCAGACAACCCGCTGCGCAGCTGCCGCTTCCCAGCCACCCCCTGAGCACCGGCCTGACGTGGCCGAGGTGCTGCGGTTTGCTTCTCGGCTCCCCGCAGCCGGGTCCGTGGGAGCTGTTGGGGAGCGTGTTCGGAGCACACGGAAGCAACTCGTTCGTCACAATGATGATGTAGTACCTACGGCATCGTGGAGTTCTCCAGCTCCACAGTGCAGGCTGTGACGAACTATTTACTCAGTGATGGACTTGGGGAAAGGCAGGTGGGGGAGAAATTCCTGATTTAGGGATTGCTCGTTACCGAAAATTTAGGAAGTGTTCCTGAGCACACAGGTTGGCTGTGTCAGCAGAAGAGTTCTGCATGTGTAGTTAATCAATCTCTGCATGACATAAGCTGAGTGTAAATCCTGTCTTTTCCTGTAGCTGTGTCTGTGGATTAGTGGTTTATGTTGCCAAGCAAAATAGGTGAACTTCTTATGGCACCAGCAAACATAGTTATGGAATAGTGTCCAGTGTAGACTAAGACTAACTCTCTGCAGGTTAAACAGTAGTAATTTTTTACTTCTCCAAGGGAGAACAAGAAAATAACTTGGAGAATTCTGGACAAGAGGGATTTGTGGCCTAATTTAGGAAGATCATTGCATACAGAAACTTTGCATGGAAAAAGCAATAGCTGTGGGAGAAGCTGGCAAGCATGTGGCAAGGCTAAGCGCACTGCTGCAAATGCTGCTCAAATCCATATTTGATACATTATGGTGATGCTGATAGTTTGTTTTTAAAATTGTGAATGGTAGATTTTTGTTTTGGAACGTGCTATGTGTTTTGTTGTAAGTAATGTTAAAGGTAACTTTTAATTTTTTTCCTAGATATGGCTCATTATGCCAAAAAAATTACCACAGAAAAATCTGGTTTCGAAGAAACTCTCAGTGTTTGCAGATGACTCTGATGAAGAGGTCAGTTCAACAGTTTTCTTCTGAAATTTGCCCCATATTCCGCAAATTATTTGTTTGCAACCCTTAATGTCTGCATCAGGTTATGGCAGTGTCTGTAAGATATGTGTCATCATTTTGGAATTGGGCATGAAATATGATCTGTTTTCTTTATTGCAAGTTACATGGAAGTGATGACTTGATTGTTAGTTACTTTTTGTTAACTCTTCCAAAAGTTCATCACATGTGGCAGCCTGTTTGCAAGAGTTAACAGTATCTAGCTTGTAAAGAAGTTTGTGGGCTATCACTGGTAAAGATGTCTGCAGATAGAAAGACAGCAGTAATCAACAGACATTTCTTAGATATTAACTTTAAAGTGTAGTTGTTAAGTGTATTTTATCCTTTAGCTCATTCCACCCAAATTCGATGTAATTAATCTATGGTGTTCGGACTCACTGTAAACAAAAGCAAAGCTGTACAACCCAAAAGTTCTAAAGAAAAAAAATAAAGGCAAGTAATGAGAATTACTTGTAGTTCTGGAAGTACTCACAATACTTGTAATACTAGATTGAACAATACACAACGTTTCTGTGATCACAGAGTTTGTTGATACTCCATGATGTATAACTACATTGCATGATGTTGACAGTGTTCTTTTCTACAGGCTCCTTTAATTATCTTTTTTTTTAAGTATTACCTTCAAAATACTGGCTTTCTACCTGCCCCAGTAGAGGGTGCTGTACACTGTAAAAATTACACTTCTGGATGTACTGCTATGAGTATGGGGAGCATTCAAGAACTGGTGTGGTATATAGGCTGGTTTGGATACCTTACAGAAACCCAACTTTTAAAACAGAATTTTTGAAGGATTTAAAGCCAGTAGCTTCATAGTTCACAGGTAAAGAATAGAAATCAGAATTGTGGAGATGAACTCTCCACATGGGTGGACCTTTCTGGACATGATGTTGCAATTTACTGGTTTTTATCAATCTGGAATTACTTGTGATAATTTAATCATAATGTCATTTATGTGCATAATTAGCTTTTTTCCACAAAATCCAGAAAATAAACTTTACATATACCTGTTGTTTAGAAATTTAACATTTAAGAAGTTGGAGTTTAGAGTCAGTTGAAATTAAGAAAGAGAACCTGTGTTACAAAAATGTTCTTACTGTTCTAGAGCTTCATTCAATGCTCTTTCTTTTGTGTGGTTGAAAAAACAATGCTAATAAAGCATCAATTAATCTTTGTCAGGTTTTGACTCCTATTATCAAAACATTTCTTTTAAAAAATTTTTTTTTTTTTATAATAAACTAGCAGTTGTTATTTTTATGTCACAGAAAGCTTGAATCTAGCAATTCCAAGCCTCTGTGTGCCTGGTTCCATTACAGAATCCAGAATGCTGCTTTTGAAGGTGTCTGAGCAACCTTTATATGGGGCATGAAAGGGCCAAGGGCCTTCCTAGTAACATCCACTCAACTCTCAACATGAAACTGCCTCAGTGCATCTTATAGGACTTAGAGGAAACAGAGATGACAGGAACATGTCTTAAATCCCATCTCTTTCCTCACTTAGCTGCTGTCCTCAGTGCTATCAGGAGGTACATCCTTCCACTTGAGCTCATACCTAGCACCGTGGCTCTAAAGAGAGGCTTTCCTTTAAATACAGCTAATGGAGATGACAGCACATCTGCTGTCCTTAATGTCAGCAGCACTTCCTTGTCAGTTTGGGATTTGGTGCCTTTCTCTACATTAAGGGAGTGACCCCACATTTTCCAGATCCAAAGAATGAGCTTGATTTAATCTATTGCCATTAAACATTACACGGTAGGACTGGGAACCTTCCTGACTGTTGGGGCTATCTTGCATTTTTTCGCTTCTCCATTTTCTCTTAATATCTAAACATTAAAGCAAAATAATGAATGCTAATAATTATAATAATGTATGCTGCTGTCTACTAACTTTTAGTGTAACGGATCAAGTATCCTCCCTTTCAGAAAGGCTGACAGATTCCCTACCAGAGTCTGTTTATAAAGACTCTTAAAAGTTGTCATGCTCATCAGTATGGTACATACCCGGCAAAAAGTAATA